ATAAATCCTTTGTGGACTTTGTTTGAAACTTGTGGTGTATGTGTAAATATATCTGTTAGCACCGTAATATGTAACGGATTAGGGGTGTTTGTTTGTGTGGCTGATTGTGTTTCCGGTGATTTTCCTTTATCCGAGTTAGAATCTATGGGATCTACATCCATATTAGTCAATTTGTCAGTGATTGGTGTTTGTGTGTGAACATCTTGTTCATGTGAGTCACGTGATGTAAGTTCAATTTCGATGTGCGAAAGAGCATGAGTAGGAGAAGAAGTCGTTGCTTCTTCCATAGTTGTGTCTGTTGAAGTGTTGTTAGCAGTTTGAGAAGGCGCTGCAGGTTGACTAGAAGTCATATTGAATTTGTTTTTGTTGGAAGACGAGTAGGTGAGATATATATCCTCGTCGTTAGAAATAGAACGATAGTTTTTTTCCAAATTTTTAAGGAATTTATTTGAAAATTTTTTTCCTATAGCAAAACTCATATGAAAATGTTCCGAGGAGTGCGTAGAGACCAAAATTTGAAGAAAAAATGACACTTGTCTATAGAGAAATGTATTTTTATGGTGAAAATTTCTTCTGTGAATTTTTGGTATTTAACGATCGTCGGAAAGAGTTTTTGCGTCTCCCCAGGTAAAAAGATGTCTAATGTAAACTTCTTGTTTCATTTTAACAGTTCGATCACGTGATTTATAGATCGGCAGACTGCGTTAGTTAACATCGTTAGCCTTTGTTTGAATTAATCGGCGTCACGGAAAGATATGAAAATTATTGTATAGTATAGTTTTGAAATAATTAAATTTACTGTACTTAAAATTATTTCGAAAAATAATTTTTATTTTAAGACGTTTGTAGGCCTGAGAAAAATTAATTTCTTTTGATATTGCTAGACAAAAAAACTAACGATTAATAGGTAAAATTTTTTTGTCATTCGTATTACATACCTGGAAAACAATGATTAAATTTAAGCCAAAGTCAGTAAAAATTAAGTCATATGACAATTACGGTTGCCTTATTTCGTAACTGCGCATACACGATTACACGTTCCCCGCAAGAAATTTCTTTCAGGAATTTTAGCGCATTGTAGTGGATTATACTTTAATTTGTTTTCTAATTTTTCCTGTATTTGTTAACATTTATTTGGATAAATATAATCGATAGTATATTTCATTTTGCCATCACAGGCACTGAATTTACTGATGTCGGATAAATAAACACGTATAGGAAATTAAAAAGTTCGTTACGTTCGAATAATTTTCATGTACAAAGAATAAATTAGGAAAGGACGCTAATCACTTCCTTGCCCTACACATGTAAGATTTTTCTTGTAATCTCACTAATGTATAATAAATATAATATCATAGGAGATTGGGCAAATGATGCGAGGTAACTTAGTATCATTATTTTAAAAGAAATTACATATCTCTTTACAATATCTCTAATGTGTTTGATGGTACCAATTAGAGTCATCCCTATAAAAAAAAAATGTCCAGTTTTTGTTCAGAAATTGTCCGCCTATATTTTCCGGACAAAAACAGGATCTATAAACATCCAGAATATTGCAATATTCCGGACATTCATAAATAAGGAATTCGTCCGGTTTTTGCCAAATATTTGTCCGTCATTTGTCCAAATTTTGATTATTCATAAATAAGTAATTTGATTATATGATTTACTTTATAGTTTTTTTAGCAGTATTATTTATTTATTCAAATTAAAAGCATAACAATAAAAATCATAGACTATTTATTATATTATAAAAA